GGGAGGGCTGGATTGGATTTTATAGTCCTCCTGGAAAAAGGAATTATTTTCAGACAATAAAAAGTTAAGGGGCACAACACTGACCCAAACATGGCCCAGCATGAAACCATGGATGAGTCACGAGGATGGGCCGCTGGTGTAACCCCTGCAGACTCCTGCTCCTGGTCCTGGTGGGAGGGGGCCACAGTGAGAGGGTGAGCAAAAACCAGGAGAGGTTGTCCTGCAGGAGCTTTTTTAGAGTTGGCAGAGCCATCTGGAAATGCTGGCACAGCACTTTTTTTCTGGCAAAGGGAGGGAGACTCAGAGGCCTTGGCAGATCTGGAAAAGGGACAAGTGGAGGATGCCCCCCAGTAGCCTCAGACTGTGCTGGCGGGCACTGTGTGAGAGGAGACGTGTGTTCAGAGGACACCCAGAACATTTTGTTGATTCCGGAATTCAGGATGCACTTTCTGTAATCTGGCCAAAATTTACAACTGCCCTTCTTGCGTTTGGCTCCTCCCTGTGGCCATTCCTTTTGAGTGAGAGGTGGATAGCAAGAGGGGGGTGGGTGGGGAGCCAGAGCTGCTCTCAGAAGTGGAGAGTTTGTGGTTTTTCGTCAGGTAAGGTGGGCTGTACGAGAGCCACACGTACCGATGGGAGAAAGCACGGGTTTTCTACAGCAGAACGACGCCATGGGCTCCCGAGTGTTCTATGGGGGACACTCAGGCATCACTTTCAGTCTGTGACTCATCCAGTTTGACACCAGGTTACAATGAGGAAAACCAGATGTCCTCACTGGAGCCATGTCTCCGGGCCTTGACTCAGGAAGGCACTGGAAACATGCATGAGAAGCTGAGTCCTCCAGCTGATGGGAAATGATTGAGAGTCCACTGTGCACGTGATACATCACAAAAGCTTCTCCATCAACACACCCTTTTATCCTGGGGAAAGAGTGACATCTATTCCCTTCCACGTAAACCCGCAACCCTCTCAGTCACAGGTGTCTTCAACACTTCGATCCTGATTCCACCTATGAAATATCTAGGAAGTAGAGATGGCGGAGAGAGGGAGCAAAGGTGGGGAGCGTGCTGTGATTTGCTGGCAAGTCCAGTGGAAGAGCCCTTAAGAGAAATGAGGTAAAACTTTGCCCTGAACCAGGTCAATTTTCACAGGTTCTTAATTTCATTCATTTATTCAGTCAGCGAGAACTTATCGAATGTCCTCTAGGTGCCAAGCACTGGATATGGTTCTGGGAATTCAGAGAAAATGTGCCAAGGACTCTGTCCCCATGGAGCTCCTAGACTAGTAGAGGAAGACAAGTGCACAAACAGGTATAAAACAATTTGCTCTTTGCTCTGACAGAAGTGTGTATCAAGGACAAGCAGAACAGAGAAGCAATGCTAAGACTACTTTGGGGAGTTCGAAAAGAGTGAAGTCTGAGTATCCCAGGTGACTGGGAGGGGTCCTTCTATGGGAAGGAGACACCACATGCCAAGGCGCAGAGGAGAGAGGCAGCTTGACTTCTAAAAATCTCTTCCTGCCTTGTCGCACTGCCTAGAACTGCTAATATTTTAGTCCCCAGTCTTTCCCTTACTACCGTAATACTGGGGCCAGCATAAGGGCTGGTGGACAGGGGAGCTTTCAACAAGATGTGTAAGATTTCATTTCAGAAGATAGAATATAAGCTGATGACAGGGCCTCACATTTTCTATTACCCCTGGTGGGTTGGCAGCCTTCAACATCTTGCCCCAAATAATCCACTTCTGGAAGGGCCTGAGTCAGCTTCTGTCTTGGTTCCGAGCAGACACACTGGCTTGGGTGCTCAAGGATGGTTTCTTTCAACCCACCCATCCAGAATCAGGATACGAATCCTCAAAGCTATTTATCATGTTTGGTCTTCAGGGCCAGCACAGGCACGCACCACACACACCAAGGGCTTGTCAGTAGCCTGAGCTAGTAGACCGGGAAGGGCTTGTGGTTGGCTAGTCAGACTGAAATCACGGAGAGAGAAGAAAATGTATTTATGACAGACCTACCTGCACTTCCTGGCTTTCCAGTGACATTATTTGGTGGTAAAGGTTTTCTTCGTTGAGGTGTAGGTCTAGGTGGCAAGGGTAGGCGGCGAGTGCCTGGAATTGGGGCTAAGAGATTGTATTACAGATAAAGTTGTCATAAGGATTCACTTTATAAAAATCACAGGTTTTTACAAAATGTAACTTTTGATAAGTAGTAACTGAATGACAGAATAGATTATATAGAAAAGTGCCGGAATAATTGCTGATATCCTTTTAAAGTAATGGCTATAATGCACCCAGGGATAATGAAGCACATTAATATATAAAAATATCCTCTATTATAGATAAAAATGTATAGGTATATCTGACTTTTGAAAGCCTGTATGGAATTTAACATCTTTAGTTTCCAATATAATCTCAACAGTAGCATTTCTCAGCCTCATTATCTCCAATCTCCTTTGATTCTGAGACTACAATTCTTGCACCATTTTAGTTTTAAAGTGGTAAAGTGCATAATTTCTCCTTTAATGGGTGATCCACCCCACCCCAAACTCTACTATGTAATTATAATTAAACAAGCACTTTCAGAACTTAAACCATTACAACAAAGGAGCCCTGATGGCAGAAGCTATAAGCCTGTGTCCATCGAGAGCCAGGTCGTTGTGAATGCTTGTGCACCGCACAGGGGCACGTGGCCAGAGATGTGTATGTGGGAGCCAAAGTTCAACACCCACTCTGCTCACCCACCCATGAGCCCTGGTGCAAAGCTGCTGGCCCAGGGGAAGGGTCCATTTTCGTAAATGGCTTATCTAAAGAGGGGAGGAAGAGGCAACATTTAAAAATTGCACAAGGCATCTACTTTGCACAAAGGCTGGCAAGGCTAGGGGTTCCTGGAGCAGTCTACCTTCACCCACATTTTATGTCTGTGTTATAGCTTAAAAATTCATCTCTTTGCGTAATATATGTTGGTTTAAAAATCTTCATGTACAATTGACAATCCAGGAAAATGCCCTGTCGCTTTAAGTACTTTTTAGGAGACCAGAAAATGTATGTGTGCATGTGTACATGTGTACATGTGTGTGCGTGTGTGCAGGGAAGGGTGCTGATAGCATATAGATCTGTAGCCCACACATTAATACACCAGAGAAAGTTTCACAGTTTCCTTTCAAAAAGCACAGAGTTCTTTTTCAATGCTAAGATTTTCCAAGTCACCCTCTAACATTTGATTTTGGCCTAAAATACAGAGCATAGCGTAAATTAGAAACATAAATCATTTTAGGCAAAAGGATACTGTAATAAATTACAAAAGAGCAAAACCTGAATATGAAGACTAGAACCCACAGTGAGTCATCAACATTTATACATTCATTGTGGCCCCCAGAACATGATACAAAGTAATTATTCAACTGGTACCCCTTAGGGATTCTTATTAATGTTTAATTTTTGTACAGAGCACTTTCCATTCCTCCAAATGTAAGATTCTGGAATGCTGTCCTAGCAGTCCCCATGTCCTGTTAGCATGGCTCTGGCGCTTTGGGGGCCATGCAGATGCTGCTGTTTTTGCTGCAACAAACGATACTGCAGTTACGGCCCAGCACAGAGCTCAGTAAGGGAATCAGCATCCTATCCCTTACCTGGTTTTTTTGTGAAGTGAGTAGAGTCCACGGACACATTTCTATCAGCACCCGATGGCTTTGGTGGTTGCTTGACCCCTATGAGCCGAGGTAAGAAAAAAGAATAAATATATAGCAAAAATGTGCTAAATGTTCCTACTTATGGAAACTTGGTGGAGTCATCAGTGATAAGATATATTTTGTAAAGAACAGAGACTCTGGTGATTTAGTGCCCAGATGTTTTAATCGGCTTCTCCTGTCTGCACAGAAAAAACAATTCAAAGGGCTACCTTCATTGGTTGTGATTTTCTCTGAAGAGTTAACATTTGATTGTGAACTGTGGTTTTTGTCTTGATTTTCCATGTTGCCTGCATGGCCTTCCTGGGTGGTATTGCCTCGCTGGGAGGATTTCATCTACAGTGATTGGCCATTTTTTTCCAATATTCATGGGTACATTTTGTGGTTTTGAAAAAATTTCCTCCAACCCTTCTGTCCCCATAAAAAAAACCTTAAAATTCCAGTGTTTGGGTTTATACTTAATGGATTGACTTTTCAAATATTTCTGGAGAGGACTTGGCTATCAGATTGGTTAGACCACAAACTGGATCTGTACCTTTGAGATTTGTAAATTAATCCTGGGAAGGCCTAGAATTCCAAATTGCTATTTGAAAGAAACTGATCTGAAAATAACTCTGTGATATTTGATCTCCTAAATTTCTCACACACAATCTGGTGGTTATTACTCAGCCATTCACCGAACTACCCATGCGTGGGGTTTGGGTGGCTATCCTATGGGTAGAGAAAACCAATTTAGGTTTCATCCTTTTAAAATTATTCTTCTTCTTTTACATTATAAAAATAATCTTCCCTGATGTGGCTGACAGTCTTCATTAAGAATGAATAGAAACATATATTTAGATCTAAAACATAAATATCCTGTTGGATATAATGGCTCATCCTAAAAGAAGAATCCATACTCTGAGGATTTTATAGTAATTCACATACTAAAAAATAAGAACATTTAATTAATATACTAGTTAGTACATTGACAATGACGAACACAACCCAAACCACATCTCATTAAGTTAATTGTACAACAGAAGCTTTGCAAGTAAAAAATTAGATGATAATCCCACATTAATTTATGAAAATATTAATTATAATTACTGTATAAATTAATATAATTAGTATTAATGTTATAATTAACATTATATATTATTAGCATTATTAAAATTGTTAACATTATAATAATGATTAACATTAATTTATTAACCCAAATATTATTGTTCATACTCTGCTGCTTGAGTAAAAGATAATATATAAAATCATGGTGCACATTTATATGGAGCCATGAACTAACTGTTGCTAATTTGTGGTAGGAAAAAAAATGTTTCTGGGGTCAATGACTATTTTGTGGCTAACCCCACAGGCATGGTGAAAACAAATGGCTCATTGGTTTTCATCCTGTGCCCCACTGTCAGTGGTAACGGGCCAGGGAAATGATTCATGCGGGTGGTTGCTCTGGGCACAGCACAGGGAATGGAAAATACTTCCATCTGTGTCACTGGGATGACCTGGCTTGGTGAGATTTGATTTACCACTATGGTTCAAGGGTAAAAAATGTATCATATATACTGTAGAGGGCTAGTAGGCTGTGTGTGCCTTCAGTTTTCTCCTTCACAGCCTTTCTCCAAAATTTTCTTACCTTAAAAAATCAAAGTATCACATGATCTCACTTATATGTGAAACCTAATGAACAAAATAAACTGACAAACAAAATAGATCCAGAGACATGGAAGCATGGAACAGACTGACAAATCTCAGAGATGTGGGGAGGGGTGGTTGGAAATAGATTAACCAAAGAATTTGTATGCATATATGCAAAGCCCAAGGACACAGGCAATAGTGCAGTGAGGGCCTGGGGGAGGAGGGGGGCAATGGGGGAAAAAAGGGAGACATTTGTAACATTTCCAACGATAAAGATAAATTTTAAAAAAGAATAAAAATCACCAATAACCACTTAAAAAATCAAAGTATTTTGATTCGTTGCTGTGTAAGCACCTTACATGTTCATTACCTGGTTTGATCCATCTAAGCCTCTGTGTGGGAGATACCACCCAGGTCCCATGGTTGACGAAGCCCAAGGCAAGGGGAGATGAAGCACTTGCCCAAGGACTCACAGATAGAAATGATGGGATTCAGATGCACATGTGCCCGGCTCCTAAGCCTATCTCTATGTCCTAAGTGGGATAGTCAAGTGCTATCTTTCTTGTGTCATTTTCTTCCTTCTCTTATTCCTTATAATGACTCTAGAGCCTTATACTCTGTCTTTTTGGTGGTTTAACGTGCCACCACTGTGTGAGGGAGGGCTCCATGGCCATGACTGGCACACACGTGTTCACCACCATGCCACCAGTGTGTGGGTCTCAGAATAATATAATGCAAGGCTGACGGCAGACCTCAGCAAGCACATGCTGGATCCACAAGCCATGGGCTGGTGAACTGGAAACCTAGGAGAGAATTCAAAATTCTGCAGGACTGCTTTATGAATAAGACCATAGATATAAACTCCCCTGGCTCCTTTTTTAATTAAGGGAGAAATCAGCATAAAGCAGCCATTTTTTATTACTTTCTGTATAGAGGCAGAAACATCATGCTCTTATGATCCTTACATGTAAATATCCAAATCAATAAAGTGTCAGCTGCTAAACTGGACTTTCTCTAGCCTGTAAAACAGATAAAAGCTGGTAGTAGATAGGAACGTTGGTAAAGCCCTGAGAGAGGCAGCCATGGGGCTCAGGGAGAGCGCTGAGCTGGGGACAGGAGGCTGAACTCCAGTTTGGGCCTTGCCTCCACCTAGCTGTGGTTTGCATGTCAGATAGGTAGCAGTGTGAGCACAGAAGCTGGAGACCAGTGAACTTCTGTTTCCCTGAATCAGAGGAGAGCAAGTGAAGACCAAAGGTAGCTGAGAGGAAATGGGAGGGAAAGGAGGAAGCCAGTAGGAGAGATACTGCAGAGAAAGAATCCTCAGGAATTGGCACATCATCAACCACTCTGGCCCAGGCTGTGACCTGAATTCTTTTTCCCTCAGGCAGGATTAATCCATATATTTTCTCAAGTGCGGAGTTGGCTTTGGAAATACCAACACTTGATTTTCACTGTGAGCCCCCAATGGCCAGAGTTCTCCAAAAATTTCTGGATTTACATAGTTCACCTTTTAGGAATTTATTGTCAAAACTGAAGTAATAATTCAGGTATTTTTAACCATGGTAACAAAAAATTTGCAAAGAAACATCATAAACTGGACATCAATTTCCAAATGTATCAGAGACTCATTTCCTGTAACCATAAAGGGTTGGTATTTATGGATAATTGCTTTCCTCACCCTTTTCTCCAAATCCTAACACCCAGCTAAAAATTCAGGGTGATCAGCCAACAGACTGGAATATTTAGTCACACCTCAAACACATTCCTCACACAGGAGTCTGGGTTCTGGTTGCCAAGCTCCATGTGGGGGCAGTGAAGTACACCTCATTAGGATGTAGAGAAGGGAGTCTAGGGTTCAGGTATTGAACATATCTTCCAAACTACATGTGCCAAGGTGGTTTCCAAATTACACTTTGCCTGGCACATAATGGGCCTTCAATAAATGGTGGTTGAATGAAATAATAGCTACATAACTTAATAGCTTTCTTATGTAGGGAGAAAGTTGAGAGATTGTCTAGCACAGGGATGGCAAACTTTTTGTCAAGGGTCAGACAGTAAATATTTCCAGCTTTGTGGGCCACATGTCTGTCACAACTATTCAACTCTGCCATTGCATTGTGAAAGCAAGCTATGTTTCAATAACTCTTTGTTTACAAAAGTAAACAGTGAGCTGGATTTGGCCTGTGGGGCTGTAGTTTATGAGATCCCCTGATCTAATGCATGCTTGTTGCATCTCTGAAGTTGGTTATAATATGTAGAACACATCAGTTAAGCTGAGACACAGCTCTAGAAACCATGAAAAAAGAGATGCTGGAACAATAATCTACCTAAAACCTCAACCTCTTTCAGGCAACTTTCTAACTTTGAGGTAGAGAAATATTTGTGCATATGGGTATGGAATGCACATAAAGCAAGATAAATATCTGTAATAATGTTATGAAATACGACACTTGGCTCAAGATGGTTTAAGGATTTCTGCAGTTTATGGAATCATTGCAAAAGTTTTAGAGAGACCCAAATAATCAAAGGTTGATAGTTTTGAGGCCTTAGAATCTTTCTTCTTTAGTCTTTCAAGGACACAACCTTAAGAGACCTCAGGCCATGAAGAATATTTCCTATAAATCCTGAACACTTCCTTTATCAACTGATTTTTTTTTTTTTGTAAAGTTTCTGGGCTGAAAATTTCAGCAAAAAAAATTATAGAAAAATGTATGTGAGATGGATAATAAATATAAATATTCTAGGTAAGATGTCAAAGTTGGATAAGAAATCAGTAGACAAAGAAATGCTATCTCATTAAGACTCAATGGAGGCTAGAAGTGAGTGTGGATGAGAAAATGGGACTGAGTCATAGAAGAAAATAACCTTAATGTGAATACCTGCATTTCTGTAAACAAATCAGATCAAAACTATGCAGAATCAAAGAAAGGTAAACTCATGTAAGCATATAACCTGGAAAAAATATATTTTAAGCATTCTTTTTCTTATCAATTTTTAAAAAACATTATTCCCTAGGCAAATAGTCCGAGAGCTGTTAAATTTTCCTTTTGTAAAATGCTAAATGATGTCACCTGTGATTCCCAATTTTTATACTACATACTTCTTTTCTTGACTTATTGCACTGGCTACATACTCCACTATTTTCAACAAAAGTGGTAAAAATAGAAATCCTTGCTTGTGTTCTTGATGTTAGTAGGAAAATATTTCGACTTTCACTATTAAGTATAATGTTAACTGTAGGTTTTTCACAGGTGCCCTTTATCAGTGAGAAAAATTCTTTCTAGTCCTAGTTTTCTGAGAGTTTTCATCATGAATAAATTTTGAAGTTTGCCTAATGGTTTTTTATATTTATTGAGATAATCATATGATTTTTCTTTGTTCTGTTAATGTGGTAAATTACACTAATTTGTTTGAATGTTGAGTCAACCTTGTATTCCTGAGGTAAATGTCATTTGGTTGTTATGTATTATTGTGGTGAACATGGAAATGTACCACTCAAATCTTGAGAGGCTGACCTGGAAGGAGCTGACAGTTGGGTGCTATCTGTTGACCTCATTCCCTGCAGGTGGGCAGCAAGTCTTTCCCTGAAGGGAAATCCCAATAGACAGACATTAGAACAAAGAATAGGAGCAACACAGTTTTGTTGAGGATGGAGGTGGAGCAAGGATAGGGAAAAGAGTGAGCTCAGCTTTGTCTACTTGTGCCCACCAGCCCTTTTCTACCAGCAACCAACTAATTAAATTGAAGAACCCCTGATAAGAGATCATCCAAGGCTGAGTTAGATGAATTAATTATTACATAGTTGACTTAATCTACACAAGAGGGTAATATATGTAAGTTTGTGTTACAAGTGGTTCTGAAAACAAATGTTTATATTGCTTATAAACTAAAATATAATGATTCTGTTTCCCTCAGAAGAACATTTAGCATTTTCCTAGTGAGAATCAATGCTTGATTTTACTGAAGGTTGAAGACTTTCAAGTTTGATCATAGCTAGCTGTTCTTTCATTTATTTTGTTGACATGAATGCCTTCTTCTATTTTTACTTAGACAAACTTGAAGGAGTTACTTTGAATATTCAAAAGTTGGCTCTGTTTAGAGCCAGATTGTTTATGTCAATTTGAGAGGCTATGCATTGCCTAATCTGACTGTTGTGAAGAATAAAAGGAGCAGCTGAGCACAAATAGATACCAGAACCCTTTCTTACTTTTCATGTGTCAGGAATTTACAGCAGTTGTCTCATTACTTGGTTTGAAGGGAAGTGAATTCCTAGAACTTCAGACACTATAATTACCTAGTACAAAAAAGGTATTCTAAAACAAATCTAAATTTTTATACTGAATATCTTCAGATATTATTCACATCTCTTTCTCATTAGGAAACTATCATGGGTTGATTAAATATATATCATTAAATAAATTCTAATTTTCATGCTTTTTTACATAAACAAGCACAAATTTTGTAGTATTTAAAAACTATTACAAGGGAATAATGCAATCCCATATTAAGAGATTGGAACTATCATTTATCCCCTAGTGAGTTGGGAGTTTGGACTTTTATCAGATCATTGTCCGAGTTATCTGTATCATGTCTACTCCCATAGATCTGACTAGATTAGGGCAATGGCATTTAATTAAACTGTATAATTTGGAAACATTAATAGAACTATAACAAGGATGATCAACTTCCAATTTCTCTTATTTAAATATTATATTCCAGTTTCTAACAGATTTAGGTCTTTTAAAAATTATAATGGTATTTTGTGAAATTATAAACTTGAAAAACAAGTGATTTCAGTCTCAAAGACCAAGCTTGTGTATGGAAAGTGTTTTGCAATTAAGGAAAATAGCTATGTTGATATTTTAATTCAATAATTCATATTTAGTCAGGATCTTTTAAAGAATCAAGATTATGTATGGTAGCTAATTTAATGAACTGGATTTAGAAAAATGATAAATTCTTCTTTAATGTTTTCAGAGACATACGAAGCTTTGATTTTGGAATGCATTATAGTTTTCAATTCCTGTTAAGCTAAGAACTTCCAAAACTGGTAAAAAAGAAACTAAAGTGAGAATTCAACAAAAGCATAAAAATTAAATGAAAACATTTATAGTCTTGGTAGCATCAAAGGTAAATAAATTTGTTATCATTACCTGTTCCCATTCCATTCCCTTTGGGTGTCCCACTGGGTCTGGGTCTACCAGGTCTTGTAGTTGTCCTATTTAGAACTACAATAAAGTGGAAAAGAAACAGTTCAGACATTTTCTTATAAAAATTTTCTGCCAAGGAAAACAAAACTTCCCAGAGAATTGTAAATCATTTAACCAGGCAATAAAAAAATGATGGCTTACCAAAAAGTATTGTTCAGAATATAGAAACCACAATTCTGGTATAAAAATCATAGGCTTGTATTTGGAAGTAGAGACCTGCATTTGTAATCTAATGTGATCACTGGGCTTGAAAGAAAAAAACTGGCAAAGGAATTTATATTTCTAAATGGGAAATATCTTGCTTTATTTATAAGCACTAGATACATTCCAAAATGGAACTGACGAACAATCAGAACTACCTATGCCAATAAAAACCCAAAACTTGAAGTGTATTTATTTGTCAAGGCCTTAATTCATCACTTGTAAATTGATGGTTCTTTTGCATGAGTCTCTAGGTACAGATGCTCCTTGGTAATAATCCTGGCAAAAGTCCATCACTGAACACAGAAATGTAATAAAACCATTGAAATTTCTCTCCTGTTCTGTTGACAGTCATAGCATTACCAAAACTTTAAGAAGTCACCTATCTCATCCTTCGCTTAGAAGACTCTTTAAGGAAAAGCACTAAGTGTATTGTGGTCAGGAGAGTAAGCACTGGAGCCTGATTGCTTGACTCTGAATCTACCTCCTAGCTCTCATGTCTTAGCTTCCTCAACTCTACCTAACAGGACCCATGGCACACACGCAGTCCATGTTAGCCATAATTGCTACTATTCATTATTTTGTAGAAACATTTAATATAGCCAGTCCTCAACAGCTATCATGATACAAGTCACATGGAGATATATTTGTTTATAAAAGACTTCTGCGCCTAACTACCTTTAGGATTTGGAGGATTACTCCAAAATTTACGGGCTTTCCATAAACCAAAGAATAGAAAATATTATTCGTTCTTTCTTCCACGTGCCTGGAGAGATGTTAACCAAGAACATAAATTTATAAGCCAGTTTCATCATTTAGAACTTCAGGAAGACTTTTAGAAACTTTGAGACTTTTAGAAAGCTTTTAGTAGAAAAAGGGCAGAAAACACCAGTCTTTGGTCCAACTTGTGCTTTAGCATAGAAGTGATTTATGTGGACCAGATCAACCCTCCAATTCACTCTTCCCTGAAAAGCTCCAATAAGGGAGATCCTAGAACCTCTGCAGAATTTTGTATTTTCCAATGTTTAATTATCACTTTATTTTTGCTGTTTACAACCTGTAAAATGGGTGTGTGTTTTTTATCATCAGAAGGAATCAAGTAAAAATATTCTCCCAGAACAAGAGTCTTTTATGCTGGAGAGACTATCTTTTCTTATACGATAAATAACATTTGAAAGCAAGTAATGTGTCACAGAGAATGCTAATGCTACCTATAATTAGCATGAAAAACTGAAGGTGGGTGAGAGAGAGAGAGAGAGAGAGAGAGAGAGAGAGAGTGTGTGTGTGTGTGTGTGTGTGTGTGTGTGTGTGTGTGTGTGTG